TAATCAGTGGTATTCACTTCACCTTTCACCTCTCAGTGGTCACAATGTTATGGCTGATTGGTGTATATACCTGCTAAAAATAGGTGATTGACTCATTTCCCCTTGCCAGTTGATGAGTTCATATTAGATATTTTTGTTTTTCCAATCTGTTACATTGGACCTCACAAATGCACTAGAAAGCAGGGTTAGTGAACAGTAGAGAGCAGCATTTGTTACTTGCCTTGGGCTGCAGGCAGTGCCTCTTCCACTCAGCATTTGTTGCATATTGCACAGTGCGAGTAGTCTTACATAGCCAGACCTATCTCCACAGTGCTGTGTCAGCACTGGAGGAAGTGCCATTATTTTCTCTTCCCTTCGAATCAGGAGAAGCTCTCTTACCTCGATGTTTGGCAGTGTGAACTAAATCGCCATTGCACATTGTCCCCATAGACTGTAAAAAACTATACATGATGTAGAACTTCAATATCAGCATCAAGATGGAAAAGGGGTGCAAATTAGTGCGTCTACCCAATGTCCTGTTTCCATCACTGCTGTTCGGGGCTGGAGCCGATAAACACTGGTGACTACTGCAGAGTCATTTGACCTAGGAATGAATGCTGATTGTTGCCTTTCCCACTGAAGACAAAAGCCAGATGTAAGTGGGTGTTAGTGTGTCTTTTGTCCAGTGTAATAGGGGCTTTAGACTAATTCTGACCTTTTTGCAAGTAAACTTTAAGGAGATGTTTGTAAAGGGTGTTAAAAAGACCCTGAGTTGTTTTTCTGTGAAAATCATTTCAGTTATCTTCCTACTTAGGATTTGATAACATTCTGTTCATCTCCCTCCACTTTTCAAGTTTTTTTTAATCCCACTCAAATCTTTATTGGCAAGAGATTTGCACCATTAAAAGTTCTCTGAGTGTCTGACCACTATAAACGCTATGGATGAATGTTTTTACATGTGGATCCCCGTTGAGTTTATTCTTGTGCTCAAGGGTGGCGTGATTCAAATTCCAGCCAATGGTTTCACACTATTTTACGGATCAACCAGTGGCCAACTTGTTAAGGACTTGATCTATTGTACATGTACTAAATCTGTGGTTTGTCGGTAGTGGTCCGAGTGAAAATTAGCAAGTTTCATTTCTGGTAGTGAAATCCAAGAAAGGCAGTCTTCCTGGAAATCACTGGTCAAAAAATATTTACAGCATGTAACTTCCTGTAAAACCAGAACTTGTCATTTTTGCAGGATTAAATACATGAGATAACCTTGTGATTAATCCAATTTAGAGATTGTTGTTGTTGTTGTTGAGCGTGTGATTTTGTTATCTTTGGACGCAGCCAGACTTCCCGCTGTTTCCAGTCTTGCAGACATAAGTATGCTGTCAGCTTTCTCATCTAACTCTTGGCAAAAACAAGGGAAAAGCATATTTCCCAAAATGTTTAACTTTTAACAAACTGGGCATCTAGCAGTGAAGAAGACTCTCCTAGTTGTCTTTAGTGTGAGTTAGTGGTGTGTGCTCTTTTTGTGTTGTTTGGCGTGTTTCTGAAAATGTGCTGAAAGTTGAAATGAGTTCAGAAACCCTGCTGGCAATTTTGTCGCAGTCCTTTTTGATAAATACAGAGGGGGGATTTCTGTGGTAACCCCTGTAAACAGTAAGATAGAGGGTCACAGAGTGGAGTTTTACAACTTCAGAAAACAAAAACAAAGAGCTGCCCTGATCAAAAAGAAAACAGGTAGAAGCAAACTCACTGAAACCTTGTGTAATGACAATGTATATTCGTTAAGATAAATTACATTGTTACCTTTTCTATCTATCACAATACCTATCAGTGAATTGATTATTGATTTCCACTGTCCACCTATCTCTCTCCTTCGCTCCTTCCTCTCTCCACTTTCAGGGTAGATACCACTCGTGTGGAGTTCACCATCTCCCTCAGAGAGAACTGGTCGTTGCCCTTCCTGGCGCTGCAGGTTACCGCTATAACCTGTTACCTCAGGCCACAGCTCACTGTCTTACAGCAGGTACACACACACACACACACACACACACACACATTCACACTCACTCTCTCTCTCTGTCAATTTTCAATTTAGTTGTCTTTATTGGGTTGACGTTATGAATCAAACATGTTGCCAAAGCACACAATACATGTACAATACAA